AGTCCCGCCCTCCCCCTCTCAGGAAAGGCTTGGAGCCCCAAGCCGGCCTAAAGCAGAGCAAAACCGGGACGCCTCCAGCCCCGACCGCTTCCTTTCGGCCGCCGGACGGGCTCGCGCAGGCGCTCGGCTCTCAGGTAGGAGGGTCTCGCAGGGAGGAACCGTGTCTAAGCCCCTTTTTTTTTGTTGTTTTTTGAGAAAAAAGAGGAAAAACAAGTGTTGGGGGGGCTGCAGCGGCTGTCAGCTGTGGGGGGGGGGCCGTCCCAGCAGCGAGCTCTGCGGTGCTTCCCTTTTCCTTTTGAGTTTCTTCATTGGTTTTTTTTGTTGTTGTTTTCTTCTCCTTTCCGCGCGCGTTTTGGGGCCGTTGCCTTTGCTCGCCTCCACCCCTGGCTCCAGTGGGGGGGCCGGGGCTGTGACGCACCTGGGGGGGGTGCTGAGGTGAGACTGAGCCTCACCCAAAAACAAGCTGTTTGCTGGAAAACCCCGATGATGAGGGGAAGACCCTTGACCTGAACAGCCCTGGAGCCTCGGGGGGGGCAAGGGGTGGCCGTGGAGAGACCCCCCCACCCCAGCTCCCAGCCCTCCTCCCTGCTGGGGAGGGGGGTGTCACCCCTGCTTGCCCCCACGCCGCATTTCGGGGATGCCGGAGAAGAGTCGGGCTCTTTGGGGACAGTCCTGGAGACACCGACGGTGCCTGGCTGCCCCCCCAGCCCCTCCTGCGACCCCCCCCAAAGCACAGACTGCTCTGCAAGGGGGTCCTGGATGCTGTGCTGTCCCACATCGAACACTTCCATGCCGGGGGGGGCAAAGGGGCCGAATTTGGCTGCTGCTCCCAACCCCGCTCCCAAGTCATCGTTTTTGCGCCCTGTTCCTCTTTCTGGCGCTGCCTGGAACTGGGGTCGGTACCGAATGCGGCTGGGGGGGGAGCGGTTGTGCTGTCTCTGTTGATACCACGTCGGGACGCCCCAATGGACAGGAGACACCCCACTCCCCCCCATTTTGGGACCCCCCCGGCTGCGCTGCAAGAAGAGCTTTGGCTGGGGCAGCTCCTGGCAGGGGGCTGCAGGCAGGAGCCGAGACCCCCCCTCGCCTGACTCCGTCGCCGTCGGCCTTTTGCGTCTCTGGGATTTGGTGGGGGGTGGGAGGGCCAGGCCGGGTTTTTGGGAGCTCGGGGGGGGGGAGGTCAGACCCTGCCCCAGCGTGGGAAAGCCGGGGGGGGCTGACTAAAACCGGGACCGAAACCGGGAGCGAAACCGGCAGCACCGGGTTTTCGCCGTCTGCACCAGTGAGGGCAAAAGTGCAGCGGCCACATCCAGACAC